TTTTGATACTGAAGGAATGTATTAAGAAAGTAACCTAATTTAACTAAAGCTCCTCATTAGTTTTGGTATGTATGTATGTATGTATGTATGTATGTATGTATGTATGTATGTATGTATAACCCACGGATCATTATATAAACATAGCACCACGAATCAAACCATAAATATTACGAAGTATAAAACAAAATTTAAACCCATTACTAAAACTTAAAAAAATAAACTTTAAAAAAATCTTCACATAATGAATTAATATACGTATAATTTTATATAGCTGTAAAATATAGGACACAAATATATATATATATAAACTATTTTTGTTTGTTTTACATTTGATCCGATGATATATGAGGCGGGTGATAACGTGGAGGACTGGAGACGTGAACGATAACTACGGTAATGGGGAGTGAGAAGGAAACAGCAATAAATCAACTGAAAGGAAAGATGATAAATATGTAATATAGGCTTAGAATGATGGAGAGAAGAAGAAGAAGGGAGGAAGAGTTATATAGTTTTAAGGTAAATTCTGATGAAGTTAAATGATAAAAGTTAAAGAAGAGAAAAACCTTAAATTAAAGGATTAAATTAACATGTGAACTATTTACCTGGTGATTTTACACACACACACACACACACACACACACACACACGCGCGCACACACACACACACACACACACACACACACACACACACACACACACGTTCTGGAAAATAGTATTATTTATTACACACAAACACACACACACAGCAAGCAAACACACACACACACACACACACACACGTTCTAAAAATAGTATTATTTATTACACACAAACACACACGTTCTAAAAAATAGTATTAGTTATTACACACACACACACACACACACATGCAGTCATGGATACATACATATAAACAACTTAACCCTTTGAGTACGATGACGTAACCCCTTGAGTACGATGACTTAACCCCTTGAGTACGATGATTTAACCCCTTGAGTACGATGACTTAACCCCTTGAGTACGATGATTTAACCCCTTGAGTACGATGACTTAACCCCTTGAGTACGATGACGTAACCCTTGAGTACAATGATTTAACCCTTGAGTACGATGATTTAACCCCTTGAGTACAATGACTTAACCCCTTGAGTACGACGACATGATCATTTTACTCGAGTCCTTCCTCTAACTTCCTGGAGGCAGCAGCTGTCCTTCACTGGTCATCAACACCTGGTCTAGGATCCCAGTTGGTGCCTCTACCTATCGGGAGGCCCGCGAGGTAGTGAGATCAGTGAGTGTATCGTGTTTGGCCGTGTGTGTGTGTGTGTGTGTGTGTGTGTGTGTGTAAAAAAAAACACGAACAAACAACAAGAAAAAGGTAAAATCCGAAAAACAAAAATTATCACCAAAAAAACACGAAAAAATACAAAAAAAACACATAAAAACAGAAACAAATGAGAAAAAAACACCTAAATAAAACACGGTCATTTGCAAGTCGACAGGTGTGTGTGTGTGTGTGTGTGTGTGTGTGTGTGTGTGTATCCGTCTTTAAGTATCAGGTGTATACATGTACATTCTATTCACACATCTGTTCGCTGTAGGTTCACATCTGTGTGTGTGTGTGTGTGTGTGTGTGCTTTTTTGGAGTCGTTTGTAGTATTTTGTCAGGGTGGATTTTAATTATCTCTCTCACCATCACCACCATTATCTCCAAAACATTCAGTGCCACCTAACCCCCTCCCCACACACACACACATTACCTGCACTTGTTGACGGTACACAGATCATTTGATTGGCTGTAAGCTCAGGTACACTCATCAACCATTGGCTGATAACATTCCCTAGCACTGAAAGCTCATTGGTGGAGAGCTATAATTCTACAATATTTCACCACTTGTGCACATGTCTAATCTCTTTTCTTATTGGCTGAAAAAAAAATCATGAACTATTTAAGGTAATTTTTAGACTTTGAAATTATACGGAAATGCATGATAAAAAATATCTGGTTTAATAATTTATGGTTAGGTTAGGTTATGGTTGGGCAATAAATACATATGAAAAGAGACTTATTGAGTAGTTATAGACGTATATTGTAAGGGGTGAACCTCATTCATGACCTATAATTACTGAACCTGTTATAAAGATGAAATAGTGTGTGTGTGTGTGTGTGTGTGTTTCACTTCAGTATAATCCCATCACATATTCTTATCTGATGGGCATTACAAGGTTGCAACTCGCCTGATAGTCAATAATAACAATACCTGATTGTCTCGCCTGACCTAACGACACTAATTTAATCACACTAAATAATCATCTGATGGGTCATAAATAACTCCTATCCTGTTATCTGATGGTCAGTGTTTGATTCCCAGCGCCTGATCTGATGGGCAGATATAAATAATGACATTGCAACTCCATTACTCGAATCTGATTGCTACTGTTCCCGCCCTTCGCTGTTATCTGATGGTTTCTACGTCAGTTTTTCACTTTGTTATCTGATCGGTAATACCCCTCCCCACCCCACGTTACCTGATGGCCACGGTGTTATTTTTACCCCATTATCTATCACGCAGTAATAGAACATGTAATTACTATTCCATTATCTGATCGGTACTACACAATTTTTTTCCTCGTCGTTATCTAATTGGTAACACCTAACACCCTCTCATCATCTTGTTATCTGATGGTCAGTGTGTGACTTGTACCATTGTTATCTGATCGCCAGGGCTATTTAACTTCGTATTATTCCTTTACCTGATTACCACTGTAGGATATCCCAAACCTCTCTTATCTGATGAGCGAATTAATTATTATCATAGTTATCTCTGTCATTATCTGATGGCCTAACACATGACTTCCGGCTCTTATCTGATGGGTTCTCGGCGTGACGGTGCGTTCTGATGGCTCTATCAGTAGCTTATCAGATGTACCGGAAACATGCCATTGCAACGCTGACTATTATCTGATTGATCGTGTTTTTATTTTATTATTTTTTCTTTTCTGGTCGTTGTTGACAAGGGAACAATTTTAGTGCGATAAGGGCCCACGTTGTCCTGTCGCTAAGTATTATATTGAGTTTATTATGTAATATATTTTCGACTCTACGGTATAAAGTTAATTTGTTCTGTATTTCAATTTGTCATTTCATTGTTTGTTTTTTTCGTTTTGTATCAATATATAGAATTATATCAAATTGGTGTTTTTGTTCAGTTTTTGAGGGGAGGGGTGAGTGCTGTTGGTGTGTGTGTGTGTGTGTGTGTGTGTTAGGTCGTTATGCAAGTGTGACTGACTGGACCGAGGTGTCATTTAAGGTCAATCTTCCGTGTAGTTGAGGTGGTAGAATGAGTCTTATTGACCAGACCACTCCGGCCA